TTCGTTTAGAACCGAGTAAACACCTCAACCCAGAGAATAAGACGCCGGGGGTTGAGGGGCTGGGGCAAAAGTGTTAGATATGTATATAAAAGAATATTTAAAGGAAGTAGTTATTCTTGTGCAAAGAGAATCATTATTCCAACCCTTTAAGAACATAGTCGATCATAGCTTTCCAGTTTCCTGTTCTTTAATATCTGTAAAATAGATCTAGCCATTTTGGTTCTTTGTTTTGTGATGGCCTTCTCTTCGGCTATCTTTCTTGTAGACTGTTGACAAACAAGGCTGGAGAACGTAGTCTGCTAAACTATTTAACTTAAGAAGTGGTTTCATGCTGTTTTCAAGAACATTAATGTAATGTGAATGCAAACTGTCCCAGATGTATCAAGTGCATTGACATGGCAGGTTCCATTGCAAATCAAAAAGCATGTGTGTCTGTGGCATTGGCCACTAACCACATTGACCCAGAAATACTCAGCTTTTTGACAATGGCCAGATGAGCAGTCAGGACAAAAGCAGTCTCTGCACTGTACAAAATTGACAGGGTTACCCACAACAATATAAGCACATGGGAGGTATTATTCTCCATGCTGCCTGCAAGCCCCTAGGCCACTTGCAGCACCTCAAAGGTGTTATTCCACATGCTTCCTGTTAACCACCTGGCCCCTGACATTAGGCCCCATGCTGCCTGCTAACCTTCACAACACTTGTCACATCTCAGAAGCATTATTCTTATAAATATAAAATTGAACACATGGTGTTAGGATCTGTACTAATTCAAATGATACACCTGGCCAATAAGGACACATGGCATAGTGGATAAAGGCATTTGTTAGATCCAGTGACAGGACCCAAAGAGTGTGAGTTCAATACCTGGTTAAAGCGGTGGAGAACTTGGAGAGGGGAATTAACAGGAGATAACTGACAACTGACATCCATTAGACATGGCACATGGAACTAGAACAGTCTACCCCAGTGTTATACCATAATACCTATTTTATTATTAATAGACTCTCCCACACATAATAAGTAGTAGTTGTAGTAGCGGTTGCCAGTTGGGCTCAGTGGTGTTGAGTGAGTCAGATGATGTCGGACATTGAAGTATCAACCATCACAACTAGATTGCTGTGTCATTAACTCTTATTTCAAGTTCCTAATGTTTTGTACGTCGAACCTAATTTAGGACAACTTATTGAAATACAAGTCTCCACTGTGAAAACTACTCTACAACACCCAGTGAGTGAAATAAAGGGTTCAGTTTGACATTCCAACCACCTGAAGAAGGCTGGAGCATACAACGGCCAAAGATGAGGACAAAATGAGGGTATTGAACTCACACTCTTTGGGTCCTGTCACTAGATCTAACCAACGCCTTGAGGACACATGGCACAGTGGATAAAGGCATTAGTTAGATCCAGTGACAGGACCCAAACAGTTGTGAGTTCAATACCCGGTTAAGGCAGTGGAGAACTTTCAGAGGGAAATCAACAGGAGATAACTGATAACTGACATCCAGTAAACATGGCATGTGGAACTAGAACAGTCTACCCCGGTGAGCGAAATAAAGGGTTCAGTTCGACATTCCAACCACCTGAAGAAGGCCGGAGCGTACAACGGCCGAAACGTTGTGATAAATATGGCGACAAAGATGAGGACAATAGTCCAAATAATGTAAATAATGATGAAAATCTGTTAGAATGATTACTTAATCGGATAACTGACAGGCTGCACTAATGGAGAGTGAGAAATTTACAGAAGATAGCTTATTGGCCAGGTGTATCATTTGAATTAGTACAGATTCCTAACACAGTGTAGTTTTCTTTGCTAATCAGAGATGGCATTGGGTAACTCTGTTTGGTGTATTTTGGAATTGTCTGGTATATTTATACATTTGGGTACTAAATATATTGTTGAAATAGGTCAACTCAGTTGATCCGTTAATAATGCTCATTTTTATTTCCTTTAGAAAAATGTTTCCCTCTTTTCTCACAGATTATAAACCTGAGAAGGCTGAAGAAGGAATCTGCTGCAAGGTTAATAATATCTAGTATTCCTAAAAAAAAAAAAAAAAGAAAAAGGGGAGGTAACTTATCTAAGTCAGATTTGAAGATTATTCATATATTGTTTAATATGTTGACTTTGTCTTTTACAGATCCAAGCCAGCTGAACCAACATTTCTGACTCAAACCAAATTTGATCATGGCACTCAGTTAATTTTCACTGTGTGATTGGAACCTTGTACCATGAAGAATACAAGAAAAATTGGATTTTTCCTTTGTTGGTTGAATGTGTGAAAATATTAGAAAAGTCTTTCCAAGAATGAAATAAAATCAGTCATTAAATTTTTTCCCCATTTCATTTTTTTAATATTTTGTTAATATTTAAAATAAGGACTGAAAAACCAATGAAAATAAAAAATTGAAACCAATTTTATTTTTCAATAAATTTTCACCCAATAGAAAACCCAAGAACAACTCAACGTAAGGGGTTACTGAATGAAGTTCTTGTATGAACATGAGAGGAAGAGATAAGAAGTGCACACTACATAAATAAATGAACAAATTAAGAAGAGGATATGTAGGATAGATAAGGATTCACCCTTGACTTAAAGAGGTTAAAATTGTAGTGCTTGGGGAAGCATCCACTTGGGAGTTTGTTCCCTAAAGTAACAATGTTTGGGAAGAAGTTGTCCGAGTGGAACTTCCTCCTTACTAATGGAATACGAAGGGAATGGAGATGAATCATTGCAGTGTATGTAGTATGGTGGGGTTTAGCTGTGAAGGTCTGAACTAGTGGAAATGAGAAGTTTAACTCATCAGAATATTCTATTATAGAAGTAGCAACAGTGGAGATATTAATAATGATGATGGTTTCATATAAATGTCTAGGAAGTGCTTCAACAGAGGATGGAAAATGTGACACCAAAATTTGAAGTGAAAGATGCTTTCCAAAAGTTAAGGAAAAAATTAAGAAACAGGAAAATTTTGTTAGAAACAAAAATGACTGAACTATTATGTAACATTGGTACTTCTATATGTCAGTGAATGCTAGAATATCTTATCATTTTTATATTGGATTTTATTTTAATCTAACATACACAACCAAATATATATATATATATATATATATATATATATATATATATATATATATATATATATATATATATGTTTTTTTCTTTAAAATAAAATAGACTGCTTTAAAGGTCCATTGTTATAATTTATTTCACTAGAGATTTTATTTTCTCTGGATCTTCAGACTTCACTTTCAAGGGTGAAAAAATGAATTTAAAATTTACACTTTTGAAGGGCAGTATTAAGCTTATATAAGGTGACATAGAGGGTGGTGAAGGATAGTATGAGAGACATGGTTAAAATTAGAGAGGGAAGGGAGAGTTTTAAAATTTATTTTTATTACAATAGAATACATAATATTGAGGAGGATTGGATCAATCATTGACCTATTTAATTGGCCAACTCACCGGAAATTATATGGGAAAAAAGAAAAAAGCGGGAAGTAAAGAGATACGAAATAAGAGATGGACGTAGGGTTTTGATGGAAGGAGAGGGGTGGTATAGCTTGATGTTTGGGCAACTTAGAAAAACTCAGATTTTAATGTTTGATAGTAATTTAAATGTTTAAATACTCCACAAATAAACTAGATTTAATGCTTGATAGTAATTTAAATATTTAACTTCTCCACAAATAAGTCAGGGATTTAATATAAACTGAATATATATATATATATATATATATATATATACACACACACATATATATATATATATATATATATATATATAAAGAAATATAGTTTTAAGGTGTACCATATTTATGGGATAAATATAAATATAAACGTGAACATTGAAATCAACATTCAGAGGCAACAGGCTGTTTCATGTTGGACGCAATCGTCAGGCCACGAATGCTGGATTTTTCCTCGGCTATTTATATATATGGTCAGTGGTGCATTGTGGTTAACCTATTCTGGCAGTTATTTTTACGTGAGTGGCTTGTTTATTTATTTATTTATATATATATTTGTTTGGATTAATTTATTTTACTCGTTTTTCATTTTCATTTTGTATTATTCTTTTCGTTTTTTGATGTTTTATGAACATAGTATAAAATTTTGGAGGGGGATTTGCTTAGGTCATTAATTTAATAGTTAATTTTGGTCTTGGAAGATAATTAAAGCTATTTATTCGTCCAATGTTTAGCTTGCTTGCCATAGTCTATTCTGTTATTTTGGCGTGGGGACAGTTTTTAATTTATTTATTTGGATTGATTATTTTTACTTGTTTTTGCTTATTTATGCTTATTTTTATTAGTTCTAACAGTTATTTTAATGGGGACGATTTGTTAATTTGTTCATTTATTTATGTATTGTGGAATAATTTTTATTATTTTTTATTTATTTACTTATTTTTTATTTTGTATATTTTTATTTATTCTATTTGGTTTTTGATTTTTGAGTAATGTAGTGATGTTTTTTTTCTCGATATATAGCAGTTATAGCTATTTTTATGTCCATTTTTGGAATGGTTGTTGTAGTCTATTCTGACAGATATGTTGGTGAGACTGGTTTGTTAATTTGTTTATTATTATTTACTGTCATTACTTATCTCGGTTGATAGTTTTTACTTGTTTTTTACATATTTCATTTTTATTTGTTCTATTTTGTCTATTCTAACGGGAGGGGTTTGTTAATTTGTTTATTATTTGTTTGGGTTAATTTATTTTACTTGCTTTTTATATTACTTTGTTTATTTGTAAAGAAAATTTCAAAACCAAACCCACATGCTGACTCATAAACCCAGCCAAAAGCGAAAAAGGTAAAATAAGTAAAACGATACTAGAAAGAATTAATTCTGAACTTAGGAAGAAGTTAGGAGTAAACCAGTGGAAAAACACAAAAGCAACTATTGACTGGTTCCACAGCATAAATAACAAACATAATTTCCAGTTTATACAATTAGACATAAAAGAATGTTACCCATCCATAAAAGAAGCCATGTTAGATGAGGTCACATTAGCTCAGGAACAAATAAAGATAAACACAAATGAAATCAATATCATTAAACACTCCTGTAAATCACTACTATTCCACAATGAAGACACATGGATAAAGAAAGAAGGGATCATTGACACTAGAATGGGACGCTTTGACGGTGCAGAGACCTGCAAAATTATAGGTATATATTTACTACATGGACTAAGCGAAATAATAGAGAAAAATGATACAACCTCATAATCTTAAGAAATAACAACAAACAAAACACAGACAAAACTAGAAAAGCAATAAGGATTTTTAAAAATAACGGATTTGTCATAGATATAAAAACTAACCTAAACAAAGTAGATTTTCTAGACTAAGATGAATGTCCCCTAAACGGTAATTGCTTACAAAACAAAGTAATATACCAGGCCACGGTAAAATTACCAGATAAAAATGTATACATAGGAGTAAATGAAGGACCCTGGAAACAAAGAATCTATGCACACAAAACATCTTTCACAAATAGTAAATATGCAAACAGTACAAACTTTCCAAGTAATCTGGGAAATTAAAAAACAAAAACAAATCACACCAAAAATATCATGGAAAATAAAGAAATATTTAAAATAACGGATTTGGACATAGATATTTTAAAAATTAGATTTTCTCGATGTTACCTTCAACCTAAGAAAAGGCACATATAAACCATGCAGAAAATCCAATGAGATACATAAAATCCTCCAACCTAAATCAAACAGATACCAAAATCGATTAATCTTCTGACATTTTTTACAACAAAACCATATTTAACAAAGCTAAGAAAGACTATGAAACAGCCCTAAAAGATAGTGGATTCCAAGCAACACTCACATACTCACCACAAAGCACAAGAAAGGCCCACAGAAAGAGAAATATCATATGGTTCAACCAACCATACAGCAAAAACGTAAAAAGAAACATAGGCAAAATATTCTTCAAATTCTTAAACAAACACTTCCCAGAATCAAGCACTCTACACAAAATATTCAATAAAAACACTGTAAAAATTAGCTACAGTTGCACTGAGAACATGGCATAAATAATAAAAAAGCACAACAGGAAAACTATCAGCAAACCACCCGAACAAATTCAACCCATGTGTAACTGTAGAATAAAGAATGAATGTCCCCTAAATTGCTTACAAAACAAAGTAATATACCAAGCCACGGTAAAATCACCAGATAAAAAAGTATATATAGGAGTAAATTAAGGACACTGGAAACAAAGAAACTATGCGCACAAAACATCTTTCACAAATAGTAAATACCTGAAAAGTCTAATACTTTCCAAGTACATCTGGGAAATTAAAATCAAAACACAAATCACACCAAAAATATGGAAAATAAAGAAAAGATCATCAGCCTACAACAATCAATCAAAAACCTGCAAACTTTGCTTGGAGGAAAAAATAGCTATTATTACCTTCCCAGACCAAAATTATTTATCAAATAAATGATCTGAGTTCATTTCAAAATGCAGACATGAAAACAAATTTTTACTATGTTACTTAAAAATTGAAAATAGAAATGAATAAATACAAATAAAAAAATAATATAAAAAACAAGTAAAATAAATTAATCCAAACAAATAATAATTCAAACCACTCCTGTTAGAATAGATGAAATAGAATAAATAAAAATAAAATACATAAAAAACAAGTAAAAACAATCAACCCAAATAAGTAAATAAAGTAAATAATATTAAACAAATTAACAAACCAATCCCACCAAAATAACTGTCAGAATAGACTACAACAACCAATCCAAAAATTGGATGTAAAAATAGCTATAACTGTTATATATCGATAAAAAATCATCATTACGTCATTCAAAAATCGAAAACCAAATAGAATAAATAAAATATACAAAATAAAAAATAAGTAAATAAATAAAAAAACAAATAAAAATTAGTCAAAATAAATAAATAAATGAACAAATAAACAAACTGTCCCTGTTAAAATAACCGTTAGAACTAATAAAAATAATTAAAAACAAGTAAAAATAATCAATCCAAATAAATAAATTAAAAACTGTCAACCCGCTAAAATAGCAGAATAGACTAAGGCAAGCAATCTAAACATCAAACGAATAAATAGCTTTAATTATCTTCCCAGACCAAAACAAAGTATTAAATAAATGACCTAAGCAAATACACCTCTAGAATTTTATACTACGTTCATAAAACATCAAA